GATAACTAAAGAGACATATTGAGCTGGATGAGACTAATCATTTAGTGCTTTGACTCATTTAGGGGAGGTTACTAATGGGATAATTTAGTGTTTTGAATAATTTAGGGGAGATAACTAAAGAGACATTTTGAGCTGTAAGAGACTAATCATTTAGTGTTTTGACTCACTCTGGGGACATAACCAGCAGGCTGTAGAGAGATATAAGATATTTAATCATTCAGTATTTTGACTCACTCTGGGGACATAACCAGCAGGCTGTAGAGAGATATAAGAGACTTAATCGTCTAGTATTTTGACTCACTCTGGTGAGATAACCAGCAGGCTGTAGAGAGATATAAGAGACTTAATTGTCTATTATTTTGACTCACTCTGGGGAGATAACCAGCAGGCTGTAGAGAGATATAAGAGACTTAATCAGCAGGCTGTAGCAGAGATATAATCATTTAGATTTTGACTTAATTGTAGAGAGATATAAGAGACTTAATTGTCTAGTATTTTGACTCACTCTGGTGAGATAACCAGCAGGCTGTAGAGAGATATAAGAGACTTAATCGTCTAGTATTTTGACTCACTCTGGGGAAATAACCAGCAGGCTGTAGAGAGATATAAGAGACTTAATCGTCTAGTATTTTGACTCACTCTGGTGAGATAACCAGCAGGCTGTAGCAAGATATAAGATATTTAATCATTTAGTATTTTGACTCACTCTGGGGAGATAACCAGCAGGCTGTAGAGAGATATAAGATATTTAATCATTTAGTATTTTGACTCACTCTGGGGAGATAACCAGCAGGCTGTAGAGAGATATAAGATATTTAATCATTTAGTATTTTGACTCACTCTGGTGAGATAACCAGCAGGCTGTAGCAAGATATAAGATATTTAATCATTTAGTATTTTGACTCACTCTGGTGAGATAACCAGCAGGCTGTAGAGAGATATAAGAGACTTAATAACCAGTGTAGAGAGATATAAGAGATTTAATGATTTTCATTTAGACTCACTCTGGGGAGATAACCAGCAGGCTGTAGAGAGATATAAATCGTCTAGTATTTTGACTCACTCTGGGGAGATAACCAGCAGGCTGTAGAGAGATATAAGAGACTTAATCGTTTAGTATTTTGACTCACTCTGGGGAGGTAACCAGCAGGCTGTAGAGAGATATAAGAGACTTAATCGTTTAGTATTTTGACTCACTCTGGGGAGATAACCAGCAGGCTGCAGAGAGATATAGGGGATTTAATCATTTTGTATTTTAACTCAATTTGGGGATATCTTGCAATAAGCCTAAGGGACCAAAACATTAAATTTGACACAAAAACAAAGGGACTATTATCAATGTCGGTGGATAATCAAGTCCATTGTAAGTTGTATTGAGGTGGAGCAAACAGGTCCTTAGAAACATATGGCCTCAGTTTTTTAGTCAGGGGAGGTAACCAGGAAGTGACAGGCATTAAACCTTGGATCATTTTGTCAAGGGAGATAACCAGGATCTGACAGACAACAGAGATAAGCAGGAAGTGACAGGTTTTAGTCAGAGGAGGTAATCAGGAAGTGACAAGCATGAAACCTCAGGCCATTTAGTCAAGGGAGTTAACTAGAAAGTGACATGCATGAGGCCTCAAATAATTTTGTCAGGGGAGATAACAGGATCTGACAGGCATAATGAATCTGATCATTTGGTCAACACAGATAAGCAGGAAGTGACAGATATAAGGCCCCACATCATGTAGTTAAGGGATATAACTAGGTAGACCATTCAATCAACATTAATTTCTATGATGGTTTGACATCTTGGTTTCTGTCTAAACTTTGATGGCAGCCTTGATCTGTGTTGGTTTCAAAGAATGCAGTCCAGATCATTTAGCCAAGGGAGGCAACAAGGAAATAACAGCCATGGTTCTCAGATAATTTAGTTAGGGGAGATAACTGGTAAGAAATATTGCATGCAGCTAAATCATTTTGTCAGGGGAGGTAACTAGTCAGCAATACCTATAAGGTCTGATAATGAATTTTTAGTCAGGGGAGATAACCATTTAGTCAAAGGCATGTTGTACCTGGGACCTACTGATACATGGACAAATGCCATTACCAATTGAATGTGTTGTGAGACGAGACAGACTGACCTGTGGCCATGTTTAGCTTCTTTGCGCTCGCCTCACAGCGGTAGTCACAATCAATCATGAGAATATCTAGGCAGATATACACATATATATATGTATGTCTGGTATGACTAATTTCTAAATTTAATGGCTCCATGGCACAAACACAATACATTTCCACAATTCACATCTCAAAATAGTCCAACCTGCAAGCCATTGCAAGACCAAAAATGATCCTCATTTTAAGACATTTTATATTACAATTGTAGTCTAAATGCCATTCAATTAAAAAGCCTTTAGACTGATTTAACACTATGGTAATGGTCAGTTCCAGTATCATCAACATTATAAGTAATGGAGAGAAAATATTACATTGTACCACAGTACTAGTGTGCAGTTAGTGCTGATCAAGGCATGTTATACATGATCAATATATGTATCTCCAACATTTGTCATACTAGCCAATTTTAATTACTTTTACATAACATTGATCAGCAGATGGAGACTGATAAATACTGGTTTTACTGTCATATCAAAAATAAAATCTGTACGCAGATTAGTCAAAGATGATCTCAAACGAATAAAACCATGAAAGTGAATTATTTCTATTGTATTGTCTACTTACTCTGTCTGTCTCTGTTTCCACAAGATATGATCTATTTCATATAACTACAAAAGTCAGACAGGAAAAGGAAGTTCATGGGAGAAAGTGGGGCAGGGGTTGGGGAGTGAAGTTTGGATATGACTGGAAATGAATGAAGGCAAGAATGTGTGAGTGTGGTAGAGAGAAAAAGCAGTCGATGATAGAAAATTGAATGAAGGATGTAAAAATGATACCATATCCTTGTGTATGAGATTTTTGTCACATATAACCTTTGATATTTGACGTGATCTTGACCTTGACGTTTTTAAAGCTGTTATGATTAATCATTTATTTGATGACTGCTCTTAACAAAAATAGTCCTTCTCTGACTTCAGTATACCAAGTTGGAACAACCATTGTTTAAGTTATGGCTCCATAATGTAGAAATTTTCATTGTTTCCAAAAAAAAAAAAAAAAAAGATTAGCAAACAGTTGAAAATGATTTGGATTTGACTATAAGAGCAACTGTCCAGTGATAGACCGCTGGCTGGAGGCTGGTGTCCAGGCCAAGTTATGATACACCTGTATACAGGTAGTGACCACAGAGAAACGTTCCCATGGCTAGTTTTAAACCTGTTGTTTTAGTCAGAACATTAACCTTAAATTCACAGGTAAAACATGTCAGGTAATCTGTTAAACGTCTGTACTGTTATAGTGAGTCACCCTACATTAAAGAATCTTCCCTTCATTGGTGTTGTCAAACCTGTCATCCTCTTCTAGTACACAAGCATGTTCTTGTCATCAAATTCTCGTTCCTTTATTGTATTAAAAAATCTCTCTATTCTTTTTATCTCAAGACATTAAATAGGATATATGATAACATAAAAAAATCGCTTTTGAATTTTGGATGTAATAAAAATACACAAAGGGATGTTGTGTGCCTTTACTTCAGAAGGTTAGATTTAATTATATCAAATCTCCATATCATGTAGAGAATACAAGACTTTAATTTGATGAAAGTTGATTTGATATTTCAAAACATGAAAATTTATCAAAAGAACAAATGAAATTTCAGCTAGAAAGGCAATTGTGGAAACTCGGTCTAATTATGACTAGATTAAATTCACTAAAATGTTATTGAAGATTTTATGGTATTGTGTTATGTTACCAGAAGATTTTGAAATTGATTCAATCATAAGGGTAGAGATTGAAACTGGAGAGAGCTGTGTGTTTAAAGATGGAACCGCAGTCCCTTACTTTAAATCATTTCCACCTGGTTTCTGAACTGCTTCATCTTTGAAAATTTCTTTTAATTTGTTGGCCCCTGATCATCTCATTCCTGTTGTCCTCTCAAACCTTCTTAAACCCATCTCAGTAAATCCTCTCCTATGCAATACCATATTATTCCTTTTATTGTCCTCGCGAATTCAGGGGAGCATATATTTGCCACCTTGTCCATCTGTCCATCCTTCCATCTGTCAGTCTTTCTATCTGTCCTTTCGTGTCCAGTGCATAAGTGCATGAGAGTTAGGCAAGGTTGATGAAACTTGGAGTATACATTGGTCATACCAACAAAATGTGCTGTATACCAAATTCAAGGTCTGCAACTCCTTAATTACAGAATTATTGCCCTTTGTTAAAATTTTGTGCACGATAAAGTCATTTTCAGGGAGGGCATTCATCATTTTCAGTGATACTCTTTTTAAGGTCTTTTGATCTAATCTGGACCCCTTATACTTTCCCTATTTTCTTACCAAATTGTACTCGTAATCCCTCTTTATAGCCCTCTTATCTTTCCTGAACTTCTTTTTGCTCTAAAGCCCTTTCCCATCACCTTTCTAACTGACCTCATTTTGAATCCTTTTATAAGTGTTTTATCATTATTGTCTTCCAATAGCCCATCTCTTTGAGTGAAGCAGATGCTCATTGGCTCTTTTTCTTCAATCCCTCTTTCCCTTCCTCAATATTTTACCCCTCTCTTTGCAAGATCAAGTTTATGTATAACACAGATCTGACAAATAAGGACATCAGAATTCCAAGATCAAGTTTATGTATAACACAGATCTGACAAATAAGGACATCAGAATTCCAAGCTTTAGGTATCACCCTACATGAAATTGTCACAAATCAAATGTATAATGATGGAAAGTTCAAGGTCAAGATTGTTCATGGTGGGGGATACACAATATTGGGGGATTCTACCACCAAAAACAAGCTTGCACATGGCACAGATCTTATACACAATGGTTAGTAGTAGTTTTTATGACTACCAAGGTCAAACTCACACATGATACAGATTTTATACAGGAGGTTACCTTTGTGGATATCTTCATCTTCTGAACTTTCATCATCTGTTCCAGAGGAAGAAATATTGGCTGGATCATCACCTGGTATAACACGTAAACATATCCTAATTAAATGTATCAGAATTTTCTGTATAACACTAATCATCTCTTCTGATACTAGTTTTTTAGTTTATTGGAAATCTGTAAAATTCTTTGAAGATTCATGCTCCTCAGTATGATGACATATTCTGAATTGTAGGGATACATTGTACATATGAAATAGCTAATTACACATCAACCTGTGTCAACATATCAAAACCATTCCATTTTAATTTGGTAACTTTCTATATTAGATCCAGCCCCCATATATATATTTATCCAACATGGCAATTACTGAAATATGAATGATGAAAATATCAATTCATTAACAAGCATTTCACCATACAGACATCTGAACGTGCACAAACAGATCCTTCTTTGATGTTTGACTCTGTATTTCATTATTATCATTAAAATGTTTGGCCAATGATCATGATATAGTTTTCTCATTAAGACATTTTACCATTTAGACAGTCTTTAATTTAAGACATTTGACCACGGAAAAAGTCTTACTTTCAGGACAACTGACCACTGAGAAAGTCTCACAGTTTTAGGACATTTGATAACAAAGAAATATTACTTTTGGAACATCTGATCACTGATGGAGTTTAATAGTTTTAGGACATTTAATCACCAAAACAGTCTTATTATTAAGATATGAAGCAAATATCACTGCAGTGTTTGGCCAAAGATAATGTATTAATATATATGCCTGTTCTACATAACAATGTACATCTAAAGTATTTACTAATGAGAATATATTGGTACATATCTATATACTTTACTAATGATAACGTATTGGTATATATCTATATACTTTATAATGACAATATATTGGTATATATCTATAGTACTTTACTAATGAGAATATATTGGTATATATCTATATACTTTATAATGACAATATATTGGTATATATCTATAGTACTTTACTAATGAGAATGTATTGGTATATATCTATAGTACTTTACTAATGAGAATATATTGGTATATATCTACATACTTTACTAATGAGAATATATTGGTATATATCTATATACTTTATAATGACAATATATTGGTATATATCTATAGTACTTTACTAATGAGAATGTATTGGTATATATTTATATCCTTTATAATGATAATATATTGGTATATATCTATATATTTTACTAATGAGAATATATTGGTATATATCTGTAGTACTTTACTAATGACAATATATTGGTACATATCTATAGTACTTTACTAATGATCAGATAACGTATTGGTACATATGCCTGATGTTGTCTTTGGATAACATCTTACCAATGAGAGAGTTTCAGTAAATATGGCTGGTTTCTGTAAAAATGAACATTTATAGGATTCTACCATTGAGAAAATATGATATTTCAGATGTATGTAGCACTACCAGAGACATAAGTTTTCATGAATTTTAATGTCTTGACAAACATCTAAATGTCAAACTTATTTTATTTCATCTCTTTATATATCTGAATGTCATTCAATAAAGACAAACACGATCTGTTCTATAAAATCTGGACTGTTTCCATGTACAGGTATAACAGCTTATCAATGACAAAGCTACATATTAAATACCTATTAATTCATTGCCAATAAAACAACAGTGAAGATAGATTTCAGGATGACTGAAGCATTTCAAAGTGATTATTTGAGGTAAACGTTCGGTAGAGAAATGCTGTTTACCAATTTAAAATTTAATACACTTCCTGGTCGCCGCAGGGTGTGCAGAAGCGTATCTATAATTCCATCATTAGAATCAAGCTTGTAGTCATTATAGATTTTTTTACACAATTTTTTTCTTCTTGGATGAGCAGTGCTAATCACCACCTGTTTCATCATTAATGTATAAGTTACTGATCTACAATGCTGAAAACCATGAGTTCTTCAAGTCAGTCAGAGATGGTGTTGCTAGGGAGCTCGGCACAAAACACCTGACAAGCATGACTACAGAGCTACACTGGAATGCTGTCCCATACACGTGAGCTTTTAAAAACAGAAATGAGGAATCCAGTTTTTATGATATATCTTGTTCAGTCTCAACCAATATGGCTGATGGCTGCCATGTTTTTTTCTTTATTTTACGGCTAGACAACATTGCAACATTATAAGAAAAAGAAATGACCTTTGAAGCAGCAGATAAGACACACGTGTTTAATTTTCCCTGTAGCTGGAATCAACATGTTAGAACTAGGCAATAAAATGCTAACTTTGTCATTTAGTTTCTGAGGTAATCATGCTGAAGACATTTATGGTACACTGATCCTGTTTAAAATGGCTGTCCCTCACATATTACATCACTTAAATCTGCAGCGGTGAAAATCAGCTCTGCCACACTTACTGGGGTGTTATCTCCCTTGCCTTGGCTAATTTGTAACAGAGTGTTATGTAACAAGCCAAACTGTTGAACCAGCCAAACTTTCATAACTTCATTTAAAAGTTTGAAGCAAATTATTTTCAAATATCAAATAGACATACAAAGTTCGCTCATATTTCAAATTCCAATTTCACGGATTTTTTCAGATTTATCTATTACTAATACTTTTCAAAATTTCAAAGTAAATTTGAATTGATTTGAATTTGACTAACTAGTATCATCCAATAACGCTTGGTGTAGCAAAGCTATACATGTATCTGATCAGTTATTGACGGACATATTTTTATAACTTTTGTTGGAAAATCTAAGTTACAAATTGAAACTCAATACATGCTATAGAACTGTCATCATGGAACCAACTCCTAATGCAATGGCACCAACAGAGTACCAAAGGGGCGTAACTTTCTGAAAAGGGGAGGTAACCTGATATAAATTAAAAACATCTACAATGCATAAGGGTTATAGCCAGCGAATATCATTAAAATCAATTCTGTAAATTAGGCGGTAATTTAGGAGGAGCAGTTGGTACATTGTCGTGTCTACAGACCGATGGACGGACAACCTGATTCCAGTTCTCCCCTCCTCTTTCCTAACTTCTTGTGGGGAAGAGAGGTATAATAAAAATAACAGAGATGACAAGATAAATTTTATGTTTGATATGATGAAGACTACAACCATTATAAAATAATAATGTGAAGTTCACAAGGAGCTGTTGTGTAGAGGTGGAAACTTAGGAAGGAGAATCATACAGCTGTAGGTTTGGTATCAGATCCATCTTGGTGTTTTGCCCCAGTAGAGCAGGGTAAGGGTAGGTGGAAGAGACCTCGGTCATCCTGATTGCATGAGTGATTTTTGTCTCTTCGATGACAATGATAATTCTTTTATTGTCCTACACATTACAATGTAGAAAATACCAATAAACATATTTTTGATAATATTGCATGTTTCTTGTCCAGTGATATAGTTATGGGAAAGGACTGTCGACTAATTCAAAATCATGAGCAGACAATTAGTTTCCAATGGTGGGGCCTGAGTCTGGTCAAGTAGTTATATGGTTTAAGAGTGCAAATTTAAAGCATAAAAGGTTATGACCCAATGACCATTATCAGAGCTTTGTCTAATCTCATTTAGGGAAGAGAAGTGGAAAAGCTGGAAAGGAAGTTTTTAAGGGGTAAACTATACATAGTTTGGGTATTTATTTTTTGAAATAATTCTAATTTGGCATTGGGTCAATATTTGGCCCTACAGATTCTGCAGAGAAAAAAAAACTGTTTATAACCTATAATGCTGGGATCACATATATTTTACAAAATTTTATAGTATTCCACTTCATGCAAAGCTAATACACAGTCAATAATATCCCGACATCCAGAGTTCTTGTTTTAACATATCTGCTAAATTTCCAACAACCTATAAATCATTTCCAACATGATAGAAATTTTTTCCTTGTAGGTCAGCAGATATGACACTGGAGCCACTGGTGTCCCCTGTAAATAAATGACTTCCCTCTCAAGGTCTGCATGACCTTGACCCTATGCAGGAGCTAGAATATTCCCCAAGAGCTTCATAAGATTAACGACTTAAAGTTGGTTAAAGATAGACTTGGTCACAACAAATCCTATTGAATAACTAATGAACTATTACAATAAATATATATTTTCGTTTGGATTTCATGTCTGAGGACAAAAACAATTTTGTCCGACTGATATGTGTCATCCTTGATGCTCATACCCGCAATGTTATTAAGACGGATGGTAGGCGGGGATGTAAGTGGATTTTCTTCCTGTTTTGTGGTCGCCATTTTATTTGTTCACCGGTGGAGTCTGGTTTTGCACACAAAATCTGCTATTACTGATTCTGGTGTCCAACCATTTATCAAATTTTGGCTGCAGATGGCAGGGCCAAGTCACAGCAAACACTGGAAAATCTCGCATCTAATGACAAGGCGAGCTGATAATGCAGTTTCTAAATTGAATATACAACCATTCCACAATATCAATTATACCATAGTTTCAAGCCTCTTGGTCACGGGCTCAGACAGACCAAAGACAAAACAGACACAGACTTGCCAATTTGAAGTGAAATTGAAATTAAGACAACGGCTGTATAAAGTCAATACTGATATATGCCGATTGGACAATATATACATTATGGAAATGACACATTTCAAAATGAAAAGGAAAAATATGAATAGCAATTAAGATAAGAGAAAAACTGCCGCTTGGGTATATGCAATGCTGAGGTCGGAAAAGTCATTAATTCTCATATTTAGCATTGATCTCAACTGAGAGCAAAAGCATTAAAATAAAACGCTATAAGGCTTGTTGTATTCAGAGTAAAATAAAATTCATTTCTATGTGACAACAGTGCTGTACTTTTACCAATAAGTCACAGCTTAGAATTAAAGCATTATGAGGATCTCACAAAAAGCTATTGATTATTTGTTCAACAGTTCTAGGGTAGAGGTTTTCAGTAATATATTCATCAACCTCCCTATTTTGGAAGGAGACACCTGATTTTTTTACTCTGTTTTAATGATAATTCATCTGTCAATCTTATTTCTTGTAAGTGATTGAAAAAAAAAACAAAAAAAGATCAATTGGTCTTCCAGAATGAGCAGCTTAAAATATGTTGTTTTACATAGTATAAGATGCCAAAAGCAGGCTGATGAAAGTACTTCTCTGAAGCTTGATACGATGAATAGAAATTTCAGAACAATGATGAATGAATACAAATACACATATTGATTACATTTATGATATATGTTTTACAATTATTAATAATCAGATTAAACATCTCAGGATTCATACCATTCTACATTTAATCTATAAGCTCCCTGTGATAGATACTGACCTGCTAGGATGCGTATGATACGTTTTTTAGACATTATTTCCAACTGGTTCTGACATCGTCGTTTCAAATCTTCGATTGTGAGTTCCTGAAAATAAACACATATGGAACTGGTCACACATTGGTCAACAGAATAATACTTCTAAGGTCACAAAGTATTCTACAACTTGATACTACCAAGGTCACACCTGTAGCTGTACCCTACAGTGATACAATCTACTCCCCACAAAACATTTAAACTTGTAGCTGTACCCTACAGTGATACAATCTACTCCCCACAAAACATTTAAACTTGTAGCTGTACCCTACAGTGATACAATCCACTCCCCACAAAACATTTAAACTTGTAGCTGTACCCTACAGTGATACAATCCACTCCCCACAAAACATTTAAACTTGTAGCTGTACCCTACAGTGATACAATCCACTCCCCACAAAAACATTTAAACATGTGATACAATCCACTCCCCACAAAACATTTAAACTTGTAGCTGTACTGTCCACACACATCTAAACCTACAGTGATACAATCCACTCCCCACAAAACATTTGAACTTGTTGTAGCTGTACCCTACAGTGATACAATCCACTCCCCACAAAAACATTTAAACATGTAGCTGTACCCTACAGTGATACAATCCACTCCCCACAAAAACATTTAAACATGTAGCTGTACCCTATAGTGATACAATCCACTCCCCACAAAACATTTAAACTTGTAGCTGTACCCTACAGTGATACAATCCACTCCCCACAAAACATTTAAACTTGTAGCTGTACCCTACAGTGATACAATCCACTCCCCACAAAACATTTAAACTTGTAGCTGTACCCTACAGTGATACAATCCACTCCCCACAAAACATTTGAACTTGTTGTAGTTGTACCCTACAGTGATACACTCCACTCCCCACAAAACATTTAAACTTGTAGCTGTACCCTACAGTGATACAATCCACTCCCCACAAAACTTTTAAACTTGTAGCTGTACACTACAGTGATACAATCTACTCCCCACAAAACATTTAAACTTGTAGCTGTACCCTACAGTGATACAATCCACTCCCCACAAAACATTTAAACTTGTAGCTGTACCCTACAGTGATACAATCCACTCCCCACAAAACATTTAAACTTGTAGCTGTACCCTACAGTGATACAATCCACTCCCCACAAAACATTTAAACTTGTAGCTGTACCCTACAGTGATACAATCCACTCCCCACAAAACACTTCAACTTGTAGCTGTACCCTACAGTGATACAATCCACTCCCCACAACTCACTTAAACTTGTAGCTGTACCCTACAGTGGGTAGAACTCCCCTTTGGAGAACACAAATATGCAAAATACACTGTCATGATACATTGGCCTTGTATGGTTACCATGGATATTAAAATCGGACAGGGCTTTGTTTATTTTATATGACAAAGTGATAAAATTGTCCTACTAATATAACCATTTCTCTGAGGACTGTTAAAAAGCTACTAATTAGGATTCAACATACAACAGTTCATTTGAAATCCTGTAGAACTACACAATGGCGTAAAGTAAAGAGAATTTTATAGCACTAGAATTACACTGTAACACTGGAAATTAGATTTACTCCTACCATTGAAAACACATCTAGTGAAAACCAACACATAATTGTGTCACAGTTTCCATCTGTTGAAATATTATCAAAACATTGATATTCAAATAAAGTGAAACTCCAACCATTTCAAATACATTTCTATATTCAAATTTGAAAAACATCAACATTAAATGTCAAGATCGAGTATTCAGGAAACAGTAAAAATATGAACATGTTTGAGTATGTTTTAATGCCATGGATCAATCTATCATCTTATTACAAACTTAAAATAGGTAATATCCTGTTATTTGTGCTTAACTGGCATAAATTAATCTGGTTGAATACAAAACATTGAGGGACGTGGCGCCATGGGAGACTCTTTTGCTTTTGTTACTATATAGATGCCACCAACATCATCAGCTTCAAAGCCTAAACTTATCAATTTTAAATTCCTTACCAGCCAATCCCTTCCTTTATCTTTGTTAATTTAAATAGGTAACTATCTACCTGTGTTACCTGTCAAGAGAACTGATTAACCCTGTAGCCAGGTGCAATGTTTATACCCTCAGTCTACAGACAGTGCTACTGCACTCTTAAACAAAATCAAGTAATCACCTAACACAACTAAATCAAGAAAAAAACACCACCATAAAATGGAATAATTTATTTCTTGTACAAATATTTTCAAGAGATAAAAAACAGTGGAGTACTTGTAGTAGTAATGTGATAGCTGTGGCCAGCTCTGGACCAGGACAAGCACAGAACACATTTTATCATGTAAATTGATGTTGTGGGCTTTTCCTTTGTTTTTTCAACCAAATGGCTTTAAATAAGGTCATAATTTTCAGAAAATGAACATTCTTAATACCTCTTTATTTTCTTTTTATTACAAGTTTTTTAACATCAGTTGGTATTTAAACCAAGACCATAAATTGCATGGATTTTACGACCCATATCTTCATCAAAGATTGCAAAGACTATGGACCATAAAACTTGAATGATGGGTTCGAGGAGGTCACACAGCCTCTAGGAACTGCACAACAATTAAAAACACCAACCCTTACACTGTACATATAATTTTGATCAAATAGCATTGATATGATTTGGTTGTTAGATATCATAATCTATGTAATACAAGAGATGACACCATAGGGACTAGGAAAGAGGTATAGAAGGGACTTCCATCAGCAGGCTGTTACACAGTAGAGGGAGATACACTTTTAGTGGGGAGAGCTGGGCGTCTTAATTTCCCAGGTTTATTAGTGTTGTCATAATAACATGATCTCATATCATTAAATGATGTTCAATCAATTTAGTTTGACCTTGACCTGACCTGTATACAGCTAATTTCTGACAATGACATGACCCTTAACATAAATTATCATTAACCTACATATTTACATAATTTATATTTGACTTTGACCTTGACCTCATCATTATATAGCCTATTTTTCACCTTGACCTGACCTTTATAAACTTATCTCTGACCTTGACCTGACCATTACACAGTTCAGCTTTTGAAATGATGCCTTAGTATTGTGTATATCATCTGAAATGGAAGTCCCATTGTTTATTGGGTTTACTTCCATAGCATGTCACCATGTGACTGGATATATAACAAAATATCACATTGATCTTCCATGTCTTCTTCAGTGAGCCAAAAACAATGTTCAACCTTTCAGTAACTACAACTAAAAGAAGGTTTTTTCTTCAAGAAAATCACAGGAGTCAAGACCGAGATTATAAATGTAAATTTCAAAAGCAAAAGTTATGTTCAAAGTTATAGCAGATTGAGATACATACTATAGTAGATACATGTCAGGTACTGAGGAGATAATTACAGAATAATTAATTAATTAATTAGATTAATGAAATATTCAGCAGATTAAAGATATCATAGACTGATGTCAGATACAGTAGATTAAAGATACCCTACATTGATGTCAGATACAGCAGATGAATGAAAGTAAGTTACAGCAGAGAAGTCTTAAAGGTCACAGATCAGTCTTAAGGGTCACAGATCAGTCTTAAGGGTCACAGATACAGATAAGTCAATAGACTGACAGATTAGTTTTAAGGGTCACAGATCAATCTTAAGGGTGACAGATAAGTCAATAATGTGACAGATAAGTATAAAGTGTGACAGATAAGTCTTAAGGGTGACAGATAAGTATAAAGTGTGACAGATAAGTCTTAAGGGTGACAGAAAAGTCTTAAGGGTGACAGATAAGTCTGAAGTGTGACAGATAAGTATAAAGTGTAACAGATAAATCTGAAGTGTGACAGATAAGTCTTAAGAGTGACAGATAAGTATAAAGTGTAACAGATAAGTCTTAAGGGTGACAGGTAAGTCTGAAGTGTGACAGATAAGTCTGAAGTGTGACAGATAAGTATAAAGTGTGACAGATAAATCTTAAGGGTGTCAGATAAATATTGAAGGTGACAGAAAAGTCTTAAGGGTGACAGATAAGTCTGAAGTGTGACAGATAAGTATAAAGTGTAACAGATAAATCTTAAGTGTGACAGATAAGTCTTAAGAGTGACAGATAAGTATAAAGTGTGACAGATAAGTATAAAAAGAGACAGATAAGTCTGAAGTGTAACAGATAAGTATAAAGTGTGACAGATAAGTATAAAGTGTGACAGATAAGTATAAAAAGAGACAGATAAGTATAAAGTGTGACAGATAAGTATAAAATGTGACAGATAAGTATAAAGTGTGACAGATAAGTATGAAGTGTGACAGATAAGTATAAAGTGTGACAGATAGGTATTAAGTGTGACAGATAAGTATAAAGTGTGACAGATAAGTTCTAGTGTGACAGATAAGTATAAAGTGTGACAGATAAGTATAAAGTGTGACAGATAAGTATAAAGTGTGACAGATAAATAAGTAAGTAAGTAAGTGATAACTCATCCTATAAAAATAATAACTACATTAATTATATTTTTATTTGAATTATTACATCCCAGAAAACCAAATATTTTGTGTAAGGAATAACCACAACATTCCACATATGACAGAGTTAAGGGTCACAGCACTTCTAACTACACTGAGGTCAGTATCCTGTCATAATCCTAGAACTTAGGAAGGGATTGCGCGGTGAACTTTACAGTAAGTAAATGTGTTTAACATATTTACATCCTGTTTTAAATATTTAAGATATCTGAACTTTTGGGTCCAAGAGCAAATTAGTATCTGCCTGGTTGTATAGTGGTGGGGAAGGAGAAGATGAATAAGGGATGAGGGATTGAGTGATAAGGCTGTTTTGACAACACATCAAACAGAACATTCATTGACAGAAAATGAAATTTGAAATTTCTCATCTGTTAATCAATTCCATTTTCAGTTTTCTAGTTTAGTTTAGTGGGATATCAATGCTGTTTTATTTGAACAGCTGTACAGCTTTACAGGAATCTTGTCTTGGACAAGATGAAAAAAGAAAGAACATGCATCATTGGTCTTGCTTCACATCAAAGCAGCTAAGATCTTTCAACCTCACACTCCACGGTAGT